TGTGCGTGCGTGTGTGTGTGCGTTTGTGCGTGTGTGTTTGTGTTTATGTACATATTTATTCATACATTCCTCTGCTCCTGTATGAAATGGATCTCCATGTGTTTCATCACATCCTGCAGTTGTGGTTCTAATACATGCATCACTCCTTTGTTCATCACACATAGTAATTAAACTTTATCTCTGTGTTAATTAGGTGCTTTATTAGTCCATTCACCGGCTTTTCAGATTAGCTGTAATGAGGCAGTGATTAAGACTGGCAGTAGATGAACTGAGGTGTATGTGAGGTTGTGGTCAAGGCCATGCAGGGTATTTTAACTCTAGCTGTTTTACTGTGATATTCCTCCTACAGTGCCAGACTGAACTATACTAATTTAGTACTTTGTGTAATCTCTTTCAATATTTGATGAAATTGAAAGTTAGAAAAGAACTTAAGTAAATTCCTGAACTCCAGATGCCAGATATTCTTTATATAACGATACCAGCTGTTCCAGACATTGTGTGAATGTTTTATGATGTGCGGACCAACAGAAATGGTCCAAGATTGTTTGAAATAGAGTCTCATTTCATTATTTGGGAACCAGAGGGTTAAAATGTCCACAATGCAAATATAACCATTTTATTTACTATCTTAAATGGCCAGTGAAGCTACACATGTCTTCTGACCTTTCACATGTAATGTTGACAATGATAAAATAGTGACAAATTTAAAAAGAAAAGTATTTTTGGGGACTATGTTGCTTTACAACACCCTGCATGTACCGCCACTCCATGGATGGTTTAAATACATTTCTGGCCAAACCCTTTTCTCAGAACTATAATAAAACCACGTCTCAGGCATCATGCAGTGCCTTCATAACCATCTCATGTAATGAAGCTTTTAGAGGCACTTCAGACATCTGGTTCCCATCATCACCATTGTGAGCCATTCTGCACTGTGACTCTGCAAGTTTCAAGGTTGGAAAATTATCATGCAAAAATGAATTGATGACCAATTTTTGTCAGTACAAATTATAATTGGACCTCGAGGGAAAAAATACAGCACAGGAAAATTATAGGATATGGGCTCATTAATATAGTGGCACAGCAGAGAGGTTCATACAGGCCATTAAGAAAAAAAATGCCCTGAAAGAAAACTATTTTTGCTCATTTTACCATTATCAGTACTACATATGAAGGATTTATATGGCTCTGGTCATTTTAGATGATAAATAAAAACCGCTGCTTCCTGTCACCGCCACTGTAACAAATCCATCCATCTATCTGACCCTATCAATCGGTGGAATTCCCCTTTGAGGCCGGAGCGTAATAGGAGCACAGAATATTCAAACGCACCAACTTTTACAGAGACATTCCTGCCACTGCTGGAGGTCAGGCAGCTCCACTCCAGCTCCTCTGCGCTCGTTTGCTCACTTGCTGTGACTAATTTAGACCTTCACTGAAAAGCTCTCTCCCTGCCGCTCTGCCACGGCGACACTCTGCTGACCGTAGAATTAAAATGTTCCACAGCACTAATTTGATTAAGAATAGCCTTTCTGCTGATTCTGTTTCAGAGCTGCAGAGCTGGTGGGCAAAAGAAAGCACACCCTCTCTACAGTGATACAGCCTCTGCTGTAATAGAAGCGCTGTAGTATTTAGGGCTGTCGCATCTGCTCAGTGAAACTGGGTTAAAACATACCTTCTCTATAAATTGGCAGTGAAAAGTTGTCAGTTATAAAATGGATAGCTTCGGTCCTAAAATCTGATTGGCTGAGCCAAGTTCAAAGCCACTGTAAAATATTCAATATACAGACACCTATAACTGCCTCACAACAGCTGAACTCTGTATCACTGCATCAAGTCATGAAGAAAAAGCCTTATATTGTTAATGGAATAATGTTTTACTGTAAGGCTGCTAACATGGACCACCGAGTGCACTGATTAATCCGGTTCTGTTTAACCTGAGAGGCATTTTCTTACCTAGGTGATCAGCAAGCTAACAGGCTAAACAACTTCTCCATTGATATTTTGCATTTTGAATTAAATTAACTTTACTTTGAATTAAAGTACTTAATACATGATTCACTGTAAAGCTGCAATATAAAAACCAAAGAACGTCACTTGATCGTCTTCCATACTTCACACGTCCGTATTTTAATCTGATCTGCCTGTAGCGTCAAACACAGGCTGAATCTCAAAGTTTGGAAGTTCTGTTTTCTTCACCCAAACAGTGCACTCTTTGTCCAGTATGGATGAGGCTGAATCCCAACTGACTGTTTTTAATCCTTTAATCCATTTTTCAGCCCTTTTTAACCTCTGATTACTGAATTAATAGTGGATATGATCAGTAGATTACCTGATTGCTAATGCAGTGACAGCCTGAGTATTATTACGTAACGCATGTTTGTCTGGATTAATGCAGATTTATCAGATCTGATCAGCAGTGGCGGAGCAGCATCACTACAGGCATAAATAGATACAAGTATGGTTTTGAGGGATGGCTGGTAGTTTCAGGTGTTTATCA